CGACAGGTGAATTTGCACGTTCAGAAATGGAAGCCATTTTTCTTTCGGTTTTTCTCGGGTGAACTTGATGTACTCTGACTACTACCTGTACTCCTACCCGATGACCAATATCCGTGAAACGTTTGCCAAAATAAAAGTCCTTAACAACTTCGCGTTACATTATCAATTGAAGAAGTCTTTTACAAAATCGTTAACTGTGCTGAAGTAGTTAACCAGCGGATTAAAAACTTCTGCGGAAAAACCCTTCCGTTTTTCTATTTTCTTGTCCGATGAAAGTAACAACAAAGCGTGACTTTAGAAAGTGGGAAATACCACTAATCATGTTGCAGATACAAATTTTTGAATTTTTCTAACGGCTACGAAACTGTAGCTCGGGATACGTGTAGAGGAAATCCTAGGCCTCCAAACGACAACTCTAGCGAGAAAATGGTCCCGTTTATCTTACCCTTCATTTCAAACGATGTAAGTGCAGCTATAAAACGCTGCTTAAGAAGGATGGGTCTAGAGATTTCGATAAAAGTAGCTGAAATGCCACCGAGTAATCTTAGGCTCCAGCGAGTTCGTAACCGCCTATATGACCGTCTATGTGCAACGCGAAATTTTTAATTGCATAAATTGCAGAAAATTGTTACCTTAATGGTAAAAACGGTGATTGCATGAGCTCGGGTATAGTTTATCTGATGTCCTGTAAGGCGTGCATTAGCGAAACGGGAAGACCACTCTGTGTCCGCATAAAAGAACATCTAGCCGGCAAACATAGACCAAATACACCGCTAGGCACGCATAGGACCCAGAGACAAAACGGAGAGGAGAATGAAGTACGGGTCACGTTCCTCTCACCGGAATGAAGAACACAAGCGCGCAAAACTCTCGAGGCGTTCCGGATTACTTCCAAGAATCCGAAAATGAACCGCAGGGAGGAATGTCTCATTATCACGCGTGATAGTGGGCAGTATATAACACTGTTATTCTGATGGGACGGGAACATTGCGCTTCCATGTGAATTCTGTGCGGTTGGTCTTCACGCGACATACTCAATGGAAGCGTCATAGAAAGCGGTGGGTGGACAAAGAAGCTATTCTGAGTTCAGTGCGGTTGAAATCTTAGTTTAGCACTTTCTCTCTTTGGTTATGGAGGTGTTTGGCCGGGTAGATTGCAGTCAACTTGACTTTTCCAGGCTCTGAGGTGGGCGAAATCCGCTGAAAGGTCAGCTTGTTGGTGAATAAAGAATAAAATAACACCTCGCGTTTGCTCAACAAGAATATAAACAACTTTTTGGGCTGGTTTTCTTAAATTGAAGTAATAAACCGGTGTTTATGGATAGAACTAGATAGGTTTTCATAGTTTTGATACAACAGTCACTGCAAAATTTTTGCAAATCATAGCTTATTGCAACTATCAGTACTATTGATCGTTATCTTAAGATCTGGTTGGAGATGAAACTAGCTGCCTTTTCAAATCACATTTTCGTTGATGTAACGTAGCCAGGATGCATTTCGTGTTTTATTTTTCCGATGACAATGAATTTAATAAAAGATGTTTAGTCCTTAATGGAATGACAACAGCTTCATAATCTTTAGTGTCACTAACACTTCACTGCATAGGAACCAGAAAAAACATTAGTGAAAAGCATAGAAATGTTGTTAATAAATAGAACAGAATAAAGAGCAAAATGAGACACGTAGAGGAAAACCAGGACCGGCAATGATGTCGTTACGTCCGAAAACTACACATACAGTATCCCATAACTAGAGTGTTGGTCATGTTTTCAATTTCTTTCTTATCAACGTAGTGAATTTAGCACTAGAAAAAAGTGAATTCGGTTTTTTATGAGCACTTTTTAGTACATCGTGTTAGCCACAGCACAGGTGCAGATTATCGATTACTTGTAAAAAGTTCGAGGAACTGGAAGAACATGAACAAAATTGATTGTGAGAAAAGAGATGCGATAAAATACGTTAAAATCTGAGAATAATTTTAGTTAAAGCAACGTAAAAACGTCGATAGCACTAGTAAGAATGTTGTCAATTTTAAGGAAGCCGATGATTTTGGCCGTTTCGATGGCGTTTTTGTTGATTTTCCTGTTGAATCCGGCTCCGGAATCGGTGTTGTTTCCGAAGAAAACAGTCCGATCACCAAACCGCCCTGAAAAGCAAAAACGAATAAGTATAGAGAAACTCTATAAGTTCTGTTTCATGGTATAGAAATCTTTATTCGGGAAATACTCTAAATATGTGTGAAATGAAAGCTGCCCTCCGAAATGTACATCCTTTTTTGTCAGAGTTAGAAGAAAAAGTTTCTAAACAACAAACTAACACCTAATAGAAAAACGTGTTCAGAAACCATATTCTGTGAGTAAGTGAGTAGCGAAGTAGTAGTGATGCCTATCGTTACGAGTACGGTTCTGGCTCGACGCTGCACCGGACTCATCAAGCCTCTCATTCCATCGCAGTGGGAAAATTGGTATTGGACTTGTCTAGGAACAACTCACTCCCTGCAATCCGGATGAAGACGCCCTGGTTGGGATATTTCAGAACTACAGGGAAAAGCTTCTTAACCAGCATCCAACGACATTCATGAAGAAGTGAAAATCCTCAACCATCAGCCGAAAGTAGCTACGAAGAGTTGGAAAGCCTTCGTGGGTTATGGATGCGATAAAAACAAATCGGGTCTAAAAAGTGCTGGAATGCGCGCAGCAGATGGGAAACAAGTGCTGCCTAAAAAAAACCCTTTCTATCTGGTCTTTCTATCATTCTTTCCATTTCCGAGGAAAAAGCTATTTCTTTGATATAAACATCACGTAAGTGATTGGAAACTGCGTCATAAAGAGTGGATTAACATTGAGAGTAGCATTATTTATAGCTTGAACGGGACAAACCCTGCTCTACAAGTCGAGAATTCTAGAACAAAAAACGTTCGTTGCTCAACCTGTAGTAAGGAACTGAAAAAAGCACAATAGGAAATAATAAGAATATGAGGTGGAAAGTGAAATGACCAAGGAAACACAACTCCATGAACACAATGCGAATGGTCAATCTCGTCTTTGTCCTAGATTTCATAGCATTCAGTAATTTCCAGTTTCTAATGAATTTTTTCTCCATCTTTTGGACTTTTTTTGCCGCTACTACTACTGTCTCCTTTTAGTGTGGGGAATAATAAAGTGGGCATCTCCAGCAAACTGCGGCAGTTCTTCAAATGTTTTTCTGTATTTCATCAAATTCGACAAGTAAGGACCAATTAATCTAAGAGTAGAACTTCGTTCCAAATTTTTAAGAATGAAAGGACACATGCGAAGACAAGTATGCACCATTAGTCTATTAGAAGTAAGCTCTTCCTAAAAATGGTCTTACCTTTCCGTCTCCAAATCCACTATCAGCGGGATTTCCGGGAACACAGTTCACTGATGCACCAATCTCCAGAGTATATAAGCCATCATTACACACACATACTGTTCCGTTGCAGTGTGAATCCAACAAACATTCCTGACCATTGGCACAGATACCACCTAAATATGCTAAGCAATAAGTTCCATAGTTTCTACTTAATTTTTTAAATACTGCTCGTCACACTTTCATTTACTAACTGGTTCTAAATATGTGCTCACAAATTCGAAGCTGAAATGGAGAATTACTTGGAAAATGAGTATACAACCATACCAGGGAAGGCGACACGATCTTCGCTAAGAACACCACTTCCTCCATCCATACCAGCTCTGGGCTTAGGAATTTCCTCACTAAACACTTGTTACGATTTTTTCAATTAGAGTTTATAAAAGTTCTGTAAACGTACGGGCTAAAGATGGCACCATCCCCATCCCAGCCCGTATACACTTGGTCTACTTCGTTTGTGTTCCTCAACCAGTTTGCCAACGGTTCGAAGTACTCGAGTAATGGTATAGGGTCCAATTGAGCTGAACGTATCACAGTTCTATGGCATTCTTATATAGAACGGCTATGAAACGAACCTTTTCCTGTGATCATCTCTAGTGCTTCCAACCAAGTAATAGATGAACCTTTCATCATAGTTTGACGAAGTTTCACTGTAGTGTCTTCGGAGAGAATACATCCCTCACTCTAAAATTGAAGTAACTATTTGTGCACTATGAGCAGTACTGAATAAGTTCTCCAAACTTACCAGTGCGGTCTCAGATGGACATAAAGCTTTCAAAATCTGGAACTGCATCACATAACTGATCAGTGATTTCGTGGCAGGTGAGTGAATCTGCAATGTTCAGTGATAAAATTTTCGCGTTAATGTCTGAATAAACATTCACTGAACACTCGCGATGATGTAGTTTTTCTGTGCGATTAGCAAAACCATTACGGCACCTAAAGGAGTTATTTGTCACGAAAATGTTAGTGAAAGAAGTCGAAGATGTCAAAAAATGTTAGAACTAGATTGGGAAAGTCGGACAGAATGTGTTATATGACATTTTAAAGCTCTGTATCTTTGATGCCACTTTGAAAAGAACGAAAAGATACCAAACCGCATAAAACTTAAAATGTACTTGTGAAATAGTAATATGCATAAGAGCATCGAGGTTCGAAGAGTTGTATGGCTGAGGTGCACGAACTCCTTCATACTTTGTTCTGAAATCATAAATACAAGGAATAAAGCAAGTAACAGTTAGTAAATAAAAGATAGCAAACCCATGGTAGGAATTTTTCGTAAAGGAAAAAGTTTTCACTCTTCCGATTTGTTTTTTCTCTCTATAAATATTAAGCTTCATCTTTAATAGTAATTCTCTGGAGCAAAACATTAAAAGAGAGACAAATTTATGAAACAAGAGTGTTGCACGATATGAGCTTTATCTCAGCTCGTCAACATCTGCACACAAGCTGTTTTTTCTTTGATTCAGCTTTCTTTTTCTTATATGTCATGTGTCATTGGCTTTCAATGATGCTGGGACACGTTCACTGGCTTTCAATGATGCTGAGACACGTGACTGCAGTATCATAAATGAGTAAGGGATTTTTTTTGCCTTTCTCAATATTAACTATCGCTCTACGTCGCCTACGAAAGAGAAGGAATAAAAATTAGGATAGTATTAGATTCCAATCCTCACATTTCGTTCATCTTTGCTCACTGCTTTCGTTAGCGGTAAGCACTTCAGCACGGTCTCACATTAGAGCAACAACTTCATCCAGTTGTGGTGAAACCAGTTTTCTTCGTAATCACTCAAAAATTTGACAAGTCTTCAGATCCAAAAGAAGAATTTCGTCCAATGGATTCTATTTTTGATTGCAAAGAAAATAAAACTTACTTAGGTTTCAATAAGAAACTGTTCGATTTCTAAATTAGACTTTAGAAGAAGGACATGCGTGTACAGACGACTGGTTCTACAGAGAACTCAAGATGACTCGGCCTCTAAGATCGTCTTCACTTGGCCTGCCGCCTTTAATGCTGGAATCTGTCTCGCTCTGGAAGAATCGTGTTCACAAGATAGCAAACCTCCTCCCAATATACATGCGACGGTGACCACCTGCGGCGAACACACGAGAATGAAACGACACTGCTATCTTGAAATTTTCGGAGGGCATGTAGCTCAATTATCATTCAAATCGGTTAGAACAGATGGTGAATTATGAAGTCTCAGCCGTTCATAAGTGATAAAATAAAGTGCATGACAATGAATAGAATGGTGCTGGAGCCCACAGAATTTGTGAATTCGTTGTCTTCTAAGTATTTAAGGAACCCTGAATGATAAGAAAGTGTTGCAGTCGCATGATCCTTATTATTTCCATTATTTGCCGGAAAAAATCGGTAGTGATTATAGGTCATAGAGAAATGTAACAAGTATTCCTCCGTTTCTACTTACCTAAGCTCCCACCATCGATCGTTAATCTCAGCGCCTGGAATCTTCTCTTCGAACTGTTCATATCGCCAATTATCAGCAACAATGTAAAACGGAACTCTAGCTAAGTTCTCTAAAGCTTCCCTAAAAACGAAATGCTAAAAGCCGTAGACATTCAAAACTGTCGCTTATTAAACTTTGTTCAGAAAAAGAAAGCTTATAAAGGATTTCGAGTGTGAAAAATACATCACTAACTTGTAGAGTTTATTAATGATTAGCGAATCCTTGATATCCAAATGTGAGGCACTCACCAACTTCTGAAACAAAATTGGAATACTCTGTTCCAGAAAAGATCACGAAGCATTTTCAATAGCTTTCCTTACCTGCGAGTACAAATAATGAGGATTTGTTGATAAATGAGCGAAGACTTTTGAAATGGCGTCGCTAATTGATGGTGAGGCCGGTTCTCTAGAATATTTATTGAAATATTCTACTTTATTCATGGTTGGAGGCGCCACTGCGACACACACGTGGAATTGATCCTTGGGCCCACTGCCCACCAAACCTTCCATCCCTCCGGGGTCGGTAAATTGGTACCTGACTTGTCTGGAAGGATGGCAGCACTGGCTCGATACATCGGTAGGCCACCGCGAGTCATTGTAAAGGCCAGGTATGCATTCAATCACTTCAAAACGATGCTTAATGAAGTCGGCGCATCCCTCAGAGATTGATCAACGCCAAGAGCTTTATCCTTTATCCTTTTTATTCCTTACTTCTTCAACAAAATTTTGTTGGTATGTATATTATAAAAACTGGAATTTTTTTCAGAATGTAATTCTTACCTGAACAAGAACGGTTGTTGTTTGTACATGTACTGGTAGTATACTTGAGCCATAAGTGAATGAGCGAGTTCAAAATCTGGCATACCCAGCTGAGCGCATACCTTAACCCTAAAGCACTAGGACTAATCGCTAGTATTAGGTTGTGAAAAAACCAAAAAATGCTCAAAAATAGAAAATCTTACCTAAAATCGTTACCATCTCTCATGTCCAGAGCAGCAGGCGGATTACATATCATATCCCTACTCCAGACTCGAGAAAAATGAGAATTTGTCCAGAACGTTTTTGGTAGCGACGGAAAACCAATAGACTTGAAAAAACGATATGCCTTAAAGAAAAATCATTGATTAGATTAAACAACAGAAAGATGAGAAAAAAATTTCAGACCTTTACAAACATTTGTTTTGTTGTATAGTTTTGAGTGTGAAATGAGAAAAGCATATCTTCGGGAATACTGGACTGATCATCGAAGGGCTTCGTTTGTTCATAGTGGGTAGACCAGTCACCACCGTCAACCGAACCTGAAATGAATGAAGTACGAAAAAGTCTGCAAAAGACGTGTAGAAACACACTTCATATTGCTTTTTTCGTTTAGTCTGATTATTTTGATGCACTTAATGATAGCTGTATTTAAAAATATCGGGTCGAGGAGGCGAAAACATGACGAGACGCAGTGAGTTGAAGCAAATGAATCGATGGACCACTATCGACCGTGATTTCATATTTGGTCTCAGTTCAGAAAAATTCCTACTCTTTTCATCGTCTATTTAAAAGTCTCTTCTCTTAAATGACCCATACAGGCATTTGCTATAGACACACTGCACCTCGATGAATTCTCATGGAAAAACGAATGCTATTCTCAAGAATTGGATAGTATATTGCTAAATTTAATTTTCACTAATTTGTTCTTACCAAAGAGATGAGCGGGAATTGGCCCATTCTTGCTCAGACCAGTGGGATTGCCGTATATTCCAGCAAGCTGTCTTCGAATATATGCGTGTAGCTGCAATTTTACCACGTTCAGTGAGTTGCAGAAGAGTCTATTAGTATAATAATAGCAGATAATAAAATGACTTACATGTTTGTATAATGGTTCAATCATTGTGTAGATTTTCTCGATTTGTGTTTTAAAATCGAAAACTTGAGAAGTATTTTTTCCGGGCAAATCGAAAGCGCTTCTCCACATTGACCCTCCGTCACGGAATCCGTTTAACTTAGCACCTCAATGAACAATTAGTGAGCAGGTTTTCGTGTTTGCCACTAACTATTATTGTACTATTGTGCGGTAGTTTGTCAATCCAACTCTCAAGAAGTTGACTTTGAACTTTGAAGTTGATGACTTTGAAAAATGGAAAGGTCAGAACTAAAGCCAGTTGCTAGTCAAACCTTTATTAGTGAGTTCAATCAGCTTCTGATATGTGGATTTCTCACGAGCCAATTCTGTTAGATACGAAATCCATAGATGTGATAGTCGAGAGGCATCTTTTTCATTATGGAAAATCGATTCCATATCGATTTTTCTTAAAACGAAAATTATCATCTTAGAGTATGAAAGTTCATGCTCGACATTTTTGCTTATGCTAGGACAATCACATTTCAACATGAAAAATTCCTTGAAACTTAGAAAACCTACTTCAACGTGCATGGTGGTGGTAGATCTCTATCACAGACTGTAACTTCTGAAGCTACTCGATTTAGCTGAAAGAGGAAATCAGCATCTTTTGTGTGAAAAATTTTCATAACGCAAAGTTCTCTGCTTTTCTTAGGACTTTATGTTGGGGAATTGGAGGGAGCAACATGTATGGTCGAAGTCAGATACAAAGACGCATGGGTTGCAGTGATAACGAGCGAAGGCTGTAGAGTTGCTTTAAGCCGTTTCATTAAATAAATATGGCAGCTGTAGCTAAATTTGTCAAGAAACTCTCTAGATATCTTTTTTGTGCTCCTCAGATCAATCCCGCTGACGGGTAATTGCTGATGGCAGCATTAGGTAGAAAATTAGCTGGAAGAATCGCAGTGCAAAGACATCCGTGACGCAGTGTATAAGGCGTGAACCCCCGAAAAGAGCAATAGTAGTTCGATCTGGGCTGCATTCCAACTTTTGCGAATATCTCAGCATCGTTGTGGTTGTAATTCATATCATACCTTACCATGAAAAATTATAGTAAGCAGAAAATGAAAGGTTAACAACGTGATTTCTCTAGATATCGTTCAAAGTAAGAAAAATGTCAAGTACATAACGTTTTCGAGGGGTTCCCTTTGTTTAAAAGCTAATTTTTTTCTGAAAATTTAAAAGTGGTTTTCATATCTTCTTAAAAAGTGTGAAAGCCTATGAAATTAGAGTAATTGAGCGCATTGTATGGCCAAATGATCGATGTGTTTCTTCAATGATAATGCCATTTATATCGTCCTTCAAGGTTAGAAATTATAGTTACCATAAACGTTTCGCTCTTTACTATCTAGCTCTCATCACAAATACAAATACTCTGCATTATCACTACGTACGGAAGTTTGAGCTTGGTTGAATGTAGCATAATCTGTAGGTGATAGAGCTGACATGCCCTCAAATGACACATAGGCAAGCTGACGTTTCAGATCAGCATCCTGAATAGAATCCGCATCGAATTGTTTTGCTTGCATCGATGTCGAACGAACGAAACGTGATAAAACCTGTAAGTCGTCTGTACATTTAGTTCTTCAAATATAGGTTCTATAGAGTGTTAGAGGTTCTATAGAGTGTTTATAAGCACAATTCTTTGAATTCAGTTGTAGCGAAGACTAAGCAAGTTTGAAATGAGTCTTATTAACAGTAAAAAGATGGAAATATCAAATCATTTCTTTATCGCGATGTCATATTCGATCCATTTTATGCCTAAAGTGAAAGAAAGCTGTGGCTTTAGTAAATATAGATTTGAATAACGTGGCAAAATTGTCCCTACCTCTTCAGCCTCATTCAAACTCTGCTTAGCTGCCGGTGACGCATGACTGAAGTATTTCCAACCAGCTGCTGCAACCTCTTTCAGCACCTTTGAAGTGGGCAATTAAAGCAATTTGTAAATAACTTTGTAGAAAAATTAGTAGCCGACGAGACAATCAATATACCTTTTGTGCTTCTGTTTGGTAACCTTGAATCCATCTTCTTATTTCGGCTTCATCCTTAATCGATCCAGGTGCCTGAAACAATAGTTATTAAAGTATTATAGAGTTAATAAACTGAGAAAATAAAATATTTGACTTCAAGTCCATCGGTGTTCCAGTAACTGCTGCTGCCAACAAGTGCTTGGGCAACCGGATTCGCAAATTTCGGAGCGTTATTATTCTTGAAGTGTTACAATGTATAATTGAAGTATTATGCCATTTACTAACATATAACAACATACCACTAGCGAACCAGTGTTGAGAAATCTATCTACAAGCTGTTCTATCACTTCCGTGTCAAGGTCGTCAGGCTGGTTTTTCTAAACATGAGATAGATGGGATAAATTGATAGGCAGATGCAGTGTCTTGGATTATACCAGAAAAATCACAGCACTGAATTAACCGCTCACCAACTCAACCACATCACCATAATCTTCTGCCTTAATATTGTCAAACTTAATAGCTGGTTCAGGTTCAACTGTAGACACCTCAAAGATAGAATGTGAGTGATGTTGAGACTCCGGTTCAGGTTTAGCTTCCGGCTCAGGTTCTGATTGTGAATGTAGTACAGCCTTTGGAGATGTAACAGCTGGAACTGGTTCACTCTGTGGAATTGATGTAGCAGTGCTCAGATTTTTAACGGATTCCATATTATCAGTGAACTCAAAAGGTTCTTTGGAGGATTCATCATCTATCGGCTCTTGTTTAGTTTGCGATTCAGCTGCTCCGCCAACAAATAGTGTGCACATCAGAAAACACAGCCCCAGAACAGTGCGGCTTTTTGATAACCGCATTGTTAAGTAACCTCAGCAGCAGTTCTAGAATTTAAATTTAAAAAATGAGGCCATTCAAGGTGGAAAGTTAGGGAAAAGTCTTGCTTCTATAATGAACCAAACTCGAGAGAATTAGAGATGATTAGAGTTGTAATACAAAGGAATTGGTTATAGTTGTCACTCAATAAAATAAGTGTTCAGCATAAAAAATATAACGAATGTTTCAATTTCGAATCGTGCTTACTGTATCAGTGAAGTGTTCTGGAAAACGGTTTGGATCTGATAGAGGTGAATTCGTACCAATACGCGATACGAGAAAAACGGCACGATTACTGCGAAAACGTGCAGTTTTCATAAATGATACAGAAGAAGTAAATATAAAGATTTCATGTCAAGGTTGGATACAAACGAAGGAAGATGCACTACGGTATAGCAAAATTTTACAGATGATTAATTTCATGAGGTTAATTCACTAACGCTCCAGCTCGATTTTCAAAGTGTTTTACTCCTTAGGTCGTATAAACTGCTCCGCTATTAAAGATAGAAATCGCTGGTATCATAGAAATAATGCCAGTGATATCGTCAGATTAGTCATTGTTTTGAGAATTGGTTACGAGATCAGCTTAGCGATTAAAAGGATCTTTCGTCTCACTCAAAGAAAACATTGACTCTCGTCGAAATGAATGGAAACAGTTATAGTAAAGGTCTTTGAGAGCTTGAGGATCTCTACAAAGTGGTGGACTAAGTAGCTAACTAACAGAATGACTCACTGACTGACCACCGAGGGTGGGGAAAACGTTCGTTGCGTTCGAGCGACATGACCGACTCGACGCATACACAGGCAATGAGAGAGTGCAGTGCGGAGATCTTTTCGACGATTCAAAGAGATGAGAGAAACGAAACACGAATTAGCCGAATAACTCGACCCTTCCGGATCGCCAATGTTCTTGTATCTGAGAAGGATGGCGGGTTTGTGGCTGAAACTTCTCGACAATCTCTACGTCGCAAAAGAGACATTTGCATATTAGTATTAGCCAAAGATTTACACAAAAAACAATAAATGCATTTTTTCAAGCATGCTTTTCTTAACTCTTAAATTCTGCATTCTATCCCTGATTTTGCGAAAGGAGAACAAGCTTCGAAGTTACCTATTGGTCTTGGTCTTAAGCTTATTGAAATAGGTATTAGGGATGAAGACTTTTTGACGGCTTTCACTCGAAGGCGGTTTAAAATTTAAAATCTTCAGTACGCTTTATATCAGCTATTTTTCTATACACGGCGAAGAACAAAATATGCAGGCGATGCCGTGTAACATGTAAACTGTAAAGCTACATGTGTAAACTGTACGTTGACGAACTGCATGAATTAGAAAAATTAACGTTGTTTGAAATCATGTAACTCGATAGTTTCAGTGGAAGTTATTATTTGTCTTAACTCTTTTATGTTTAACGTTTTGTTTTCTGCCTTCTATAATTTTCATGGCAGGTTACTAAGCGAAATACAACCACAACGTTGCTGAGATATTTGCAAAACTCTGGACCGCAGGTGTCTATGGTGGGTCCTTCGCTTTGCATGTATCTCACCTAGTTCTATCGATCTTTTTGCCATCAGCAATCACCCGTCAACGAGAGTGATGTACTCGATGGCATAGTGGTGAAGTGCGCTGCTTCCCGGTAAGGACAACAGCGCGTGTTCGTTCTTCACTGCATACACCTGTGGTCCGGAGTTTTGCAGATATCTCAGCACTTCATACGAGTTATCATTTGTTTTCAAATCAAGTAAAATTGAGAGGATCGCAGATGAACGGCGTCCGCGCGCAAAAAATCAATCCTTCAGGCGATATTCAATCCCATGGAACACGTTGTATTTATTTTCAATCAGCATTTATATTGTGACGTTGGTTAAAGTTTGTTCAGTTGAACTTCTCGCTTAAACCTTCTTTTGTATACATGAGGTGCAGCGATCATGCACGATGCAACATGTCCTATATTCGCTGTGATTCCTTGCCAGTGGTTTGCTACCGCAACGTTGTTGGGATGTACTGTAATGTTCAGCTCACAACCAGCTCGGTTACCACCACTGCACCACTGGTCAAGCCGAGTAGTTCGAAATATTCATCACAAAGGCTGTTGTGTTCAAGGTGCTCTTCGAGAGAAACGGCACCTTTTGTCAATCGTGGAGGCTTGTGCAGGAACGAAAGAAAAATTTACCAGGCTTTGTTAGAATTACTCTATACTTAATGTTATTCTGATACAGCGCCAACATATGAGAATTTTTCCAAACGAACAAATAATCATGATTATATTTATAAATAGAATGAGGAACAAAGGTTCCATGGGGAAGCAACAAATTAACTAAAGCGTAAGCAACCAATGTCCACAATGTGTCAACATGAAAAGAATGATGGAAAATTTCGTCGAAGTGAACAAGGTGAAAATCCGAAAAAAAGGAAATAAAAAAAATAAATTAAAATACGAACTCGGAAAACATGACATAGTTCGTATTTATCATAGCTTATTCTCTACTCAAATCTAAATTTTCAATCATTGAGTTGGCTCTTAAACCATGCTTTTTCTGGCTCATTGCGACACGATGCTTTTCCTGCTGATGGTTTGAATAAGCAAATAAAATAAAAACCAAGAAAGAAATTGCGATTTTCTTTCTTATGATGATGCAGCAATGAAACTTCACTCTTGCTGTTCCGATGCTTATAAGTAACGCTTTAAATGTTGAAAATGAAAAAAAAATGAATGAAGAAAGGAGGGCAAAGAAGTGTAAAAAACCAAAGATTTCTTACTCAAAAGTTAAGTGCAGTGGTATAAAACGGAGGACATAGTTGAATATAGGTAAAGTCGAATGAACGGATGGACAAATGGATTGGAATGGTTTTACCTGCGCGTGTAGTGTCGTTGTATGAGAGCGCGCCATTACGGCCTAGATTGAAAGAAATCGACACCAATTTTGGGTCAATTCAAATCGAAACACCGATATTATGACAAACTTATTTAGATCTAGTGATATGAATGTGTATGGAAAAAGTCGTCAATGTAATCAACCGGATTTGCTTTAAATCGTCCTGTTAAACAATAACATGACACGTAAATGAGATTACCAAATTTCATATGGACAGAAAAGTTTAAATACTCGACTTTTGGCAAGTAAAAATAAACGATAAATAAAGGAGTGCTCTTGCACATAGTTTTCATTAAATAAAACGACTGAGAAAAGGGAGAAACGAAGGACTGCCATAGTGTGGTGGCGAACGCGTTGGCTCCTGGAAGGGGTAATAGCGTGTTTGGTTCCTGCCGCGGAGACCAGCGGTCCAGAGTTTTCCAAATAATATTTCAGCATCATTATGTTTATAACTTTCTTTTTCGGATGAAAAATTGTGCCACTTAGTTTAGTGCTCTTTTAAAGATAATCAAATAAAATTTTAGGATGGAAAACTATTCCAACGATTTTAGAGAAAGAAGTACCATTAGGAGAACGCCAAGTGCATTTTCATGAAGGAATGATTAAGAGAGTATTATCGCACAGTAATATCATGTTAAATCTTAAACTACTTAGAAAATACAAATCAGAATACGTTTCACTTCCCCGTATCAACCTCAAACAGAAGCTTGTACTTATATGTATTATATTATTAAATAACTTGTTATTAGTTTCTTCAACGATCTGTTTATTCACGCAGAAAACTTTTTCTTGAATACTGTCTTTTTCGATATTCTTCGAATTAAACCGTTAGCCATAAAAGAAAACCACAACGTCGGACTCAAGGAGCAGGAGCAAGTCGTCTCGCTTCCGAAGCAACGTTCTAATTTTCTCCAAACTGTTTTCAAAAATCTTCACAATCTCTTAGTTAAATGCCTCATGTACTTAAGGAATTTTCGGCCATACTTCATAACAAGAACTGCAGTAAAGAGTTAACTGCGTAGTGATTATTCGATAGGCTTAGAATTAAGCCATTAAATGTGATATACAGATTTTAACGATTAGATTCTGCAAAAGATTGAGTTGAGTGGATCCTAGTTGACATGATCGGGCTAACAAATACATTGATTGAGTTGGTTAGCCAACGCATTTGTTTTAACCATTGCTGGAAACAAAAATTTATATTGGTTAAAGAATGGAGAATAAAGCATCTGTTGTGAGTCAATAGTCCAGAGATGCGTCATACATTCGATTCCACTCGTACCATCGTTAGAGTTGAGAGAATGCATTTCCAGACTATGCACTGGCCTGCAGTTTGCTACCGATCTCTCATTTAACAGGGCTAAGATCCTCCCAGAAAGTGTGGTAGCGTTTTGCTCAGTCCTAAGAGGTTAAAAGCTTACATTTGTCGGGAATCAGAATTTTACCAATGACTACGGGTTCATTGCTCTATACACCCTAAGCACAGAGACACTGAGTCAACCTATTCTGTTGATTACAGAAAAATAAGCTTCACATTTCCACCCGTTGGTGAATGATAATGAAGTGATCCCAATAGTTTTTATGGTTCAAAATCGCATGCACTCCATTGCAATCATCCCAAAAAGATTAAGTAAAACTAGCGTCAATTGCTATTTCGATGTTTTTTAACAACGTTATGGGAAGAGACCACACATCGAAAATTTAGGTCGAGTGACCAACAAATAACTTTGTTATGATCGTGAAAAATATGACAAACCGTCGTTCAATGACTTTTAATTGTAGAGTTTCACACAAAGTTTATGTAACATCTATTAACATTGGAGTAAAGATGGAAAGTGTCGATTCATTATATAGTCTTTGTTCAAACTATCGTTTAAAATCTTTTAGAAGTCGTTTAACACTCTCGCACGAACGACCCATAAAGGTATCATAATGGTTTTGAGGAAATGGCTGGTAAGACGCCTAAAGTATCGTTTCCTTTCCGGTTGTTTATTTCGGAGACAGAAATTTTTTCCTATACTCTTTGCAATTATTTGGCAGGTCATCCAACGCGGATTCAGTGG